ACACTCATATATATCCTCCTCCTCCTCCTCCTCCTCCTCCTCCTCCTCCTCCTCATCATCATCATCATCATCATCATCATCATCATCATCATCATCATCATCTTTACTAGAAGTTTTGGAAGGGATAGATTTATCTTTCTAGTGTTGGAATAATAATACTTTTGGCTCTATTTCATGTGTGAAATGCCCGTAGCTCTCAATATGTTAATAGCATCCATATGCTAAAGATATAACCTAGATCAGTTTTCTACAACTTGGCTGCTCTCCAGATGTGTACATTTTAATTTCCAGATTTCTCAGCAATAGCCACACATCTGGAGGGCAGCCAGGTTGAGGAAAGCTGGCTTAAAAGATCATGCACTTCTTTAACAAATAGCAATTGTTTTGATAAGCAACAATCAACCTCAAACCTGACTGGCAGTCTGATGAATATCAGACCAAAATAGTAGGATAAGACCAAACCATATGAGTTAATGTTTTAAATTATATTCCCAGCATTAATGCAAACATGTGGCATAGTTCTGAATGAGAACTATGGGATGCACACACAGGAATTATTGCTTGTTAATGCAATTAATATACTGCATGTATATCGGAAGCTAATGTTAATTTGTCACCCTTACTAGGTCGACCAGACAGGAAACACAACCTAATGAGCTAATTCTACTTTACTGTAAAGCTACATCTTGCAAGTCTGAAAGTATTTCCCTCATCCCTTTTATAGCTCAGAAACTAGGGAGAGTCTGTTCTGAGCCTCTTGCCCCTCCCACATTCCTCCTGCAGGCTAAGCTGCCTTTTATCTGACTGTTCTCTTGGTTGCATCTCATTGCCCTGTCCCACAAGGTCATTCCCACATACCATTACATAATTTGAAAGCTTTGGGACTATTAAAGGGTTAGAAAAAGTATTTGGAGTATTGTAGGCAGATTACTGGGAAACAGCCAGCTGATAGTTTTGATGAGTTAGCCCTACCCTTTCTGATCAGGATGAAACTCTGTTAGGCAGAAGTTGGTGTCCATAGACAACAGGAGGCCTAGTTAACCAGGAGGAGGCATAATTCACCTTTTTGAAGTTTTGTTGGATATAGTAAAACTGTATACATCTATCCCAATTTTGTAGTGTGAGATTAGCACCTTATCCAGGTGAGATTGTCTTAGACCCGTGGACATGGTATTAGGACAGGTAGCGTGCAGAAATTCTATTAATTCTGAAGGTGGTTCTGTTATTGATAAAATTTGAGAGCAGTCAATAAGTACAGCCTCTTGACTTTTCTAAGGTAAGCATCCACAACATCAGAAATTGCTTCCACTAACTGTACCTGTGAGATTACCCCCAATTCTTTTGTTTTTTTCTCCTCTTCCCTCTCTTTTTTCCTTCTCTTTTTTCCTTCAGGAATCTGCTTATAGAGAGAATTCAAAGTGGATTGCACCGTGTAACATTTGCCTACTTTCCTTCTTTGTAATCTTCCACTAGGAAACCTGTCAACATGACCAAAGCCACAATCAACTACCGCAATGAGAAAACACACATGATGAGTGCAATTGATCAGAGCTTCACAGACCAGAGTACCCTTCAGGAAGACGAGAGGCTGGGATTATCTTTCATGGATACTCACAATTACAACAACAGAGGTCAGTTTCAAATGAATACATACTGCCCTGATCCAAGATACAGCAGTGGAATCAATATTACAGAGTAACATAGATTTCATTGGTATTTCTGTTGGCAGTACAATGAAATTAGGGTTAGAGTTAGAGTTACGTTTCCTTGGGCTCTGCAACTGAATTTCATATGAGGGTTAAATGCTTTAGGGAAACTTTTTAAGATTAGTGTTATGTTATAATAGGGACTGCCTGCCAGGCAGAGGTGTCCAAAAAGTCAAAATGGCAGCTGCAATCAAAGCCTTTTTACTGTGCATTGCGACACATGTAAAAAAAGGAGCAGGGCTTTAATCACATGGTTTGGACTACCTTCTTGACTTTTTACACCTTTCTGAAGATCCCCCTGCTGCCAATTTTTAGGACAGAAAATTTCTACTGGCAGTCGGGTGAAAGGAGGGTTAGGCTTCTCTGAAGTCTGTGGTTCAATTTAGTGTGAGAGTTAGGTTCAGAAAAAACCAATGCAGGCTTATTGGTCCTGGATCTCTCCCAATATACTCCTACTTGACTTTTCATGAATTCCTACATTGGTTGGATCTTTGGAAGTGTTATCAATTTAAACTGTTGGGGCTAATCTTCTGGGCTGTGCGTCCAATGTTATCTGATAAACCTGATTACAATTCATGTTCTTGTGCTCTCAGCTCAATGGTGTAATCAGTTGATTCCTTATCTTAAAATTGCCACCTCACATTTTAGGCTTTTTTCCCATTTAGCTCCTACTCTCTGGCTTCAACTCCTCTTTGAGTTAGGCCTGTAGTCCAATCTTTAGGAATTTTAAATGTTAAAAGGCTTAAAATGCTTCTTTTTTCGGGACCTTTATGAAGGTGGAAAAATCTCTCTCATGATTTGATTTGTATTAAACGTGTATTTGTATTAAGAATGGCTTATGTTGAGTACTATATTGTATCAAGATATGATGCCATTGATTATTATATAGTTTTATTGTGGTTTATATTACATATAGTTTTGGGTTACCTGGACTGTGCTTAGTTATAAACTAAATTATAAGCAGACACTTTCTCACAATTCACCTGCCAAGAGATGAAAAGAAACATAGGTCATAGTGCACTGCAGGGAAAAAAAAAATCTCCTGTCCTTTTTCATGCTACTTCTCATTCAGTTTGATGAAGGAAACCTCGCTTTTGACATTTCTTTCAAATGAGAAAAGAATTGCTCAGCTCCATTTGGCCTAGCTAGTCTGCTTTACATGCCTGTTTGCTGGGCACCGTGTCTCTATCACCATTTTGGCTTGGACTCTGAGAGAGCCTGGGCATCTGGTCTTTTGTCGTTTGTGTATTTAGACTGCAATATAGAATTCCTGGGAAATCAGTAGATCAGTCAGCCAGAATCCTGCTCTTTGATGGGTATGAACCTTCTGTATGTCTCGGCATGGTGGCGTGCGTGCAAGTGTGTTCTGGGGACATCATCAAGTAAAGAAAGGACATCACACGCAAAAACACAAATCTGGAATGGGGATGGGGGAGAGAAGAGGCACTTTGTCGGAGAGCAGGAATGGATAGGAAAGAAGCCAGATGCACGGACGCAGATAATGGGGACAGATAGTGCTGTTTCTTGCTATACAAATGCAGTGCAAAATGTACTTACAAGACTTTATGTGGATAAGTGTATCAATATGTATTTGTATCTATAGCAGGGTTTCTCAACCTTGGCAGCTTTCGGACGGGTGGACTTCAACTCCCAGAATTCCTCAGC